AGATGGAGCAATAACAAACATTATAATATGGATTGTAATGATGTGGCAAAACTAAAAGTGTTTTAATATAATGTCTTAAACCTCTGTATATTGCTGTCAGGGATGCAGCACGTGCATTTGCACAGGGTAGCAGGTACTTGGTGGTGTAATTGTGTAGAATTCCTATAATGGAGGAAGAATGGGAATGGGGGCCGCACAGTAAGCATTTGCACATGGTGGCAACACATATTGCACCGGATCTAACTGCTGTATAGTTATCATGCATTAGTAATTCATACACATTGCACAGTGTCAAGCTGAGGATTTGCTTTACATAAATTAGTGTTTAGTGTACATATGTTGCATTCAAGTATACTGATTTCTGACAGATAAGTTAAAGTATACACAAAATGCAGGTTCACTTTTAAGGACTGTTAAGCAAACTGTAAATTTTTGAACAAGGATAGCAAAGGAAAACAAAAGTACAACCACAAGAAGAAGTAAACAAAATCCTTATTCACAGGAATGTAATGTATTTTGGTTATTAACGGGCCAGTTCCTAGTCTCTATTGTGATTTCAACTGATTGTTGAGGTAAAGAGGCTTTCCAAGCACATTTGCACACAACAAGAATTGATACAATAGTGTAATAATGTACTTTCAAGTCACACAAAGGAGTCTTATAGTACAAAGTTCCATATTCCTTATATACGTTCTTTAATTGCTTTTCTAAATAACATATATGCAAGAAAGACGAATATCTCATACAAACTTGTGCAGGTATATGTGTCACCTCTTAATTGTACATAGAGTTAAAGGGCCAAACTGAAAGAAAGTTCATTGAAATATATGTTGCTGTACGTAAACTTTAAATAAGCAAAACAATTAGTACATGTTTATGACCTTTTGACAGCTGGCTTACATTAAAATACTTGTACTGAATTTTTAAAAAGTACCTAAATATATTGAACTACAGATATATCATACACTATTTGTTGAAGGATTAATGTTTATTTCAATTGTGAATTAAATTACGGAAACACTACATTTACGTTTTAATACAATTAGCCCCCCAGTGGCACAGTGGAATGTTTGCGGACTTACAACGCTAGAAACCGTGTTTTGATACCCATGGTGGGCAGAACACAGATAGCCCATTGTGTATAAATTCAAACAGACAAACAAAAACTAATGAATTATCATGATGAAAACTTATAAGCAGCATATTATTACAAAATAGAGTTGTCTAATATAACTTTATTTCTTTAAATACTTTTTAAAATTATTTTAATAGATGTAAATATATCATATTCTTTATTAAGAAGTAACTGACAGCTAAAAAGAAATAACATAAAATCCACTATATATTTCCTTTTTTTACTTCCTTCAGCTGGTTATGTTTTATCATCATATTTTCATTACTGTCAAAGATTTATGAATTTATATATATATATATTTTCCAGGCCTTCCCTGTTGTTGTCAAATATAATTTAAAATTAAGTTGCAAATGGATTATACCAAAATAACGGTTTTGTGATACAAGTTTGGTTTATTGATGTTTTTACATGTATAAAATTCTGCAAAAGCAAATTAATTGTTTTACATTTTATAGGTTATAATGAGCATTCTAGTGTGGTATTCTCAAGTTCATTGTTTATTCATTGAGTTGTTTGGCAGGAACCACAGAATAGTGAGAAGCTCACTAGAAATGTACTGAAGAACATAAATCTGAATTCTCTGCCCACGACTGAGTTTGAAGCAAAGAAAGAGACTGTACAGAAGTTAAATAATCTTTATCTCAAACAAAAACAACCACAAGCAAAATCTGTATCATTTTGGCACCTTTACTGGAGACAGCTCACTATGAGAATTTAAGAACTGTTTCTCTTACTATATCTGTCCCAGAATGAGGAAACATAGCATTATATTTATATATACAAAACAAGAATACTCTTTTTTATAATGTGTTATGCTACCCATGTGACTGATGATCACTCTCACTACAAAATAAGAGATGTTGTATCTTTAAGGCATCACCTTTTCCACGAGAAAGCCCATGTGACACTCTAGTTGAGTGAGCCAGTTCAGTAGGTCACTTGGGTGAGAGGAATATAGTGGCTCCCTTTATTATAAATATCCTATATTAAGACTAGGAAACAGTATTCAGAAAATTTTGAAAAAATTCATAGTAAATAAGGGGAAAGGAAATACATGCTATGCCTGGATATCGCACTAGCAGCGTGTTTGGTGAGATATTTGTAAGAAAAAGAAAGTCCTTTCTATTACAGCCTATCATTGATATAATTTTAATTTAAAAGTTAGGGGTCACCATGATCTCTCCACATCAGTAGAAGAGCTAATAATCAAACTAGTTATTTAATATGGCTACCATGCTAATTTATTATAAATTCAGAAAATCATTGCTTGAGGTATATTAAAGCATAAGCAAGGTCAGGGAGCTTTCAGCTAATAAAATACTTATTTTATATAAAGCATTCAATATCAAAGGCATGTTTATAATCCCATCAATCCACATTTGAACGTATATAAAAACAACCTGAAAATAATCTGCATTTGTAGTATGGGAGCAGCATACCCCTGAACATGATGTGAAGGACTAGTGCTCCCTTTTGACCCCAGCAGAACTACAGCACATTCTATAAAATTCTGAACAATATGAGTTGTAATACACATATATCAATGTTTCATTAAGTTCAATGTAATTGTAAGTTGAAAATAAATCAATGAGAATCATATATATATAATATGAATAATAATAAAAAGTAACTGACCAGAAAGAAAAAATCGTGAGAATTCTGCAAACTCTAGGTTCAAATTAATTTTCGTACATCAAATATTTCTGACTTTTAAACAGGCTTTGTAAATTTTTAACAGTGGTAAATTAATTTTCACTAACTAAAATTCAGAATCGATAGAATAGTGTAATACTCAACAAAGGAACATTTTATCTTTTTTTTTTTTATTTACCTTTTATTCAATAGTAAGATAGTGGTGTTTTGGTGAACAATCTGTTTGTTCTGATATGGGGGAAAATGTTTACTTGTTATATGAACATGATGGAAAATGAGCAGAGAACAATACAAGACATCACACACAGTCTGTTAATAATAACAATTTCCTTGTTTTTATTGCAACAAAACATCTGAAGCATCACTAATCAATACCTGGCAATACAATAGAAATATTTAAAGAGATGAAAGATTTTACAGTACTTTCAGTGCAAACAGAGTATAGTGTCTGTATGGAAGTCAAAATTTTCACCCTGAGTACAAAATAAAACAACAAACACACATGGTTAAAAGGAAAGTATATCTAATTTAATTTTAACTTACACGTTATTTATGGCTCAATATGCTTTCAGAAAATTGAATATCTTCCCTGAAACATGTAGATATTTATTTTCTGACTTGGTACAATACAAATATTTTACAGCTATCCACTAGAATTGAATCTTTGCAATCCCTATTGGACAAATTATTGATCAGATTTTTTTAATGATGTTTTTGTCTTAATGAATTTCATCTCAGAATAAGCCAATAAATAAAAGTTTTGATGAGTATTATTTCTTGGCACTTGTGTATGTTGTTAAAATAATAAATAACACACAATTAAAAACATTTTAATTAGGTCAATCTATGACTACTGAAGATGAATTATAGTATTTTGGCACTTATGTATAAAGTTAAAATCATAAATAATATTCAACGTTAAAC